AAAGCGACCGACAGTGTTGGAGAATATGAAGAAGAATATAAAGATATCCGAAACTTCTTTTCACAGAAATCAAAAATTGTTATTCTCTTCTAGTTTTATGCTTTACTTGACTTGATGCTTTATTCAATGTTTACAAGAAGATCGCAATTTTAAAATAATAAAACGTTTTTAGAAATGCGTTTTGAATTCTCATATTGGTTTTCTTATTATTTCAGAGAAAATCCGCTTGCTCATTAACAACTTTCCACTGTACATTTGTGTATGTGTAGTTGTGTGTGTGTGTGTGTGAGAGTGTTGGTATGTCGCCGTGCTGCTGATGTTGTTGTCTGTGATTAAAGGCCAAGTGACAACGACAGAGGCAGGCATAAAAGAAGTCGCTTTAAAGCCACATGGCTGCATTGAATGGGTGTCGGAGTTAGAGTCGGTGTCGGTGTTCGTAGCGTCGTTGGGGACTGTAACTATGGGCACAATGATGCGACTGTATGTCCGATATAAAGTATATATATGTAAAGTATATATATGTATAGAGAGGCTAGAGGCGGCGCTGTCACAGCTCATGCCTATCACGAAAACTGGAATTTGAATCCGGTTGTTAGTACCGCTACCTGCAAATTCAATTCAATTTTTGTTATGCTGCTGCAACTTTTTTCTTCCTCTTAGTTTTTTGTATTTTTTGTATTATTTTTTTTTCTTCTATTAAATGCCATTAAAGCATTTCTTCTTCTTGTTTGTCTTCGGCGCCAGCGATCCGTACACTTCCGCATACGTACACATACAAGTATATCTCCAGCTCTATATGCGTATGTTTGTTTGTAACTGCGGGTGCATACTCATATACTATGTATGTATGTGTGTGTGTGTGTTGTCAGCTTAACACCGCCCCCCGCTGCCAGTTCAGCCCCTCAAGAGCGAGGAGAAAAAAACCAACAACAACAACACATTGTGCTAAATGTCAAAAGGTGTAGTGAGCGCAATCAGCAAATTGCATTAAAAGACTTGTCGTGTTGTTATTTCATTGTTGTAGATGTTGTAGTTGTCATTGTTGTTGTTGTAGTTGTTCCGTTTGACCTGCTCCCCGCTGCCAGCATAATAGTATTGATGTCGGCTGAGAGTGTTCTCCTCAAAACGATCACAAAACAACACACATTGAATTGTTACTGTCGTTCAAGACGATGCTTAAAACTAGTATGCCCTTTAAATCGTTTGGGTACAGGGTATAAGCTATATACTAGTACTCTTCAAAGAATCAAAGCGAAAAGCAGCAAGCCTTAAATATTTTATGCTCAGATTGACAAAAGATGATCTATCAAAAGACATAAGTTTTGTGGAAAAGAAAATAGAACCAATGTTCAGAATGGAAAAATAAATATTGCTGGCATGAAATCGATCCTAATATTTGGAAAATTTAAGCAAAACCGCTCAAAAAAATGGTTGATTCCACGATACTGTGCCCACACGGATAAAAACACGACTTTTTCATATTCAGGGCCAAGATCTTTTTGCAATTTAGGTTTGAAATCTTATTGCACAGTCTGTTTTTAATTGCTTAGAATAAAACACTATAAGTACAGCTTGTAATATGACTTAAGATAATCAAGGTTTCAAATTTTAGGAATTTTAAATAGGTCTTATGTTATTTGGTACACGAGAGCTCGCACTTTTCATTCTGTTTCACAGAATTCCTAAATTTATTTGCTGACATGAAAACGATTCTAATATTTGGAAAATTAAAGTTTCAAAAAAATGGATTAGAATAGAACACTATAAGTATAGCTTCAGATAATCCCGGTTTCCAATTTGAAATAGGACTAATTTTTTTGTTTTGCGAGTGGAATTCTAGGAATTCTATTAATTCGTAGATATTTGTGGAAATAAAATTCCAAGGCATTACTTAAAAACCGATTTCAAGCTTTCAATATAGCTTAAGATAATCCAGAATTCCAATTTTAAATTGGATTTATTTTTTTATATGGTATGCGAGTGTTCGCTCTTTTCGTTCACTTCCGAATACGATAGAAATTACTAAATATATTTGGGGAAATAAAATTCCAAGGCATTACTTAAAAACCGATTTCAAGCTTGCAATATAGCTTTAGATAATCCAGAATTCCAATTTAAATTGGATTTATTTTTTTATATGGTATGCGAGTTTTTGCACTTTTCGCTCACTTCCGAATACGATAGAAATTCCTAAATATATTTGGGGAAATAAAATTCCAATGCATTACTTAAAAGCCGATTTCAAGCTAAATCCAAACGATGTTGATCTTCAAATACTTATGTATAATGATGCTCGAATATTCCACGCATACTGAACGGTTTCAAAGATTTGAAAAAAAGAAATAAGAATAACAAAAATAAACAACAACGCGCCTGCATTTGAGGGGCGCTTCAAATCTGTTGTGTCGGGGAAACTTCTCTACTTAATTAAAACCAGCAGGCTGCCAGCTACCGCCGATTTGTGACAAAGTTATGCATACGCCCCCATACCCTAACCATACGAGTACGTGTATTCCCTTCCATACCAATACCCATGACCCATGCTCGGCCGGACGGGCAGGCGCTAATAGTCTCACATGCGAGTATGCATGAAAACAACAGCATAGAGAGTGCGAGAGTGAGGATGAGGGTGAGGTTCGGGTTGGGGTTGGGTTTGGGGTGAGGACGAGTGTGTGTGTGTGTGTGAGTGTGAGGGCGAGAAAGGGAAGCTATAAAGAAATGACAACAGTGACAACCGCAACGACAACCACAAACAACGGCGTCATTATCAGCAACAGAAACAGCAGCAGCAGCAGCAACAAAAACAACAACAACAATTCTAGAAGCAACAACAAAGCCACAGACAAGCTGCGCTGTGAGACTAACGACTTGAAATTGCGCTTATTAAGACTTCCTGATTTATAATTTCAGCAGCGAACCCAACAACAACAGCAACAACTGCACTCGTACTTATAAAACGAAAAATCAAAAGGCCGCGAAGCAACAATAACAATACTCACACACACTACGAAAACGAGTATCACACTTTTGCCTCTGACTGTGCGCATCTGCCTTTTTTGTTTTCGAACTTTTTGCAACCATTTTTGTAATATTTATTATGCATTCTTTTTTTCGAACTTTTTTCTGGTTATGCCGCCAAGCCACGGACTTTTATTTTACTTCATGCAGCAAAAACTTTTTGCGGTCCGATCCGTAATGTACCCTTTCTTTAACTTAGATATGCCACCACATCCACATTCACATGCCCATGAGTAGCATTTGTATGTACAAGCCAAAAAACAGCCAAAAAAAGCAACAAAAAAACCACAACACTTCCTTGAACGAGTACCGAACTATATTCTTGAGTGGTTCCGGTGGGAACAGAAAATAATTGTTAGGTAGGTAGATATCAGAATAGATATACTGATAGAAAGATGGATAGACAAAATAAATTATAAATAAATAGCTAGATATATATAAATAGATAGATTAATACAATTAAATAGATGGATAGATAGATAAATAGGTAAAATGCTAAAAAAAAATAGCTAAAATAGGTAAATAGCTAGAAAATGTATTTATCTTGATTAAAATAGGACCGAGTTCCCACACAAGGGAGAACGACTTAGAAAGGGCAGGCGATATCTTCTAAAATCATTTTAGCGAGGCAATTTTTCCACAAACAAGTAAAGGACGTCCATCGCAAATAGATAGATATACAGATACAAAGATAGTTATGTAGATAGATGTATAAATAGATAAATAGATTGATGGATGGATAGATAGATAGATAGATAGATAGATAGATAGATAGATATTTATATAGATAGATAGATAGATTGATAGATAGATAGATAGATAGATAGATAGATACATACATACATACATAGATAGATATATGGATATATAAATAGATGGATGGATCGAGATAGATAGATAAATAGATAAATAGATAAATAGATAAATAGATAAATAGATAAATAGATAAATAGATAAATATATAAATATATAAATATATAAATATATAAATAAATAAATAGATAAATAAATAAATAGATAAATAGATAAATAGATAAATAGATAAATAGATAAATAGATAAATAGATAAATAGATAAATAGATAAATAGATAAATAGATAAATAGATGAATAGATAAATAGATAAATAGATAAATAGATAAATAGATAAATATATAAATAGATAAATAGATAAATAGATAAATAGATCTAGAATTTTTTCCAAGCCAATAAAATATGTTTATTGCAAATCATGAATGGAAACGATGTCATATGAAGGAATCGAATAATAATGCTGCTATTGTGGCGGCAGGAATTTATACGAACCATAAAACTTCAGATAAGATGAACGGCACGGGCTATTGTGTTTGCCAAAGAAAATATTTTTGAGAAATTTGTCAATACTTCATTTACATAAAAAAAAAGCGGAAAAGAGACAACTTTGAAGACCTGTCTTTTGAAGAGTTCTCCAAAATTTAACGAGAAACTGTAATTGTTTAGTTGTATGGTCTTTTTATTTATAAATAGCTTAATAGTTGCATTTAAAAAATATTGCAGATATTATTTAACCCCAGCTGCGCATAGAAAACTACTTACAAGTAATATGGAAAGGAGGATTTTATCCACATGAATATACTTGTAGTTCTCGAACATATTTCAGATCTACCCGATGGAGTAGTAATTGTAATGTGACAACAGCATTGTTGCCTGCACCTATTTGTAAGGAATCCAGCTGCGTTTAAGCTGCTTCCCTTGTCGCACATCGCGAATAATCAAATCTTCAATCAAATCAAGCTAATGCATAGCCCGTGGGGGGTTTCAATATTTGATATTCGCATATATGTATACAATGTATATCGAAATAATTGATAGAATGTGTTCACAAATCAAATAATTTACTTGTGATTTATTTAATGAAGAGTGACGGCATCGTGATGGCATCATAATGATGCCAGCATGCAGGGAAGTGGGCTTTTGGAGGGGATGGGGGGATGGGGGATGGGGTTACTCACCTGTTGGATCCTGATGAATGCGCCCCTCGCCGAGAAGTGACGCCGAAGCTAGCGTTAGGAAACAATCGAAATTATTTAGCGCAACAATGGCCAGGAATAAAGCGCCGAGTGCGCCCAAATGTCGACTGGTGTTCCAATGTTGTTTGTTGTGTTGTTTGCGTTGTTGTGGTGTTGATATTGATGTTGCTGTTGTTGTTGTTGTTGTCGCTGCTGTTGTTGTTGCAATTGTGGTTGCTATCCTTGTGCGCGGTCTCCTTGTTATAGTTGCTGCCGCCGCTGCTGCTGCTGCTGTTCTTGGTTTTCTTGTTACTGTTGTTGTTATTGCTGTTGTTGTTGTTGCAGCTGGTGCTGTTGTTGTTTTAGTCGCCTCCACAGCCGTTGTATTGTCGCTGCCGCTGCCGCTATCGCTGTCGCTGTTATGATTGGGACGCCACCGCATTTTCGCATTGGGTGGTTTGCGCCCAGAAGCGAATCCAATGCCCACGGGCCTCGGACTCATTTTGGCGTTGTCTTTTGCCACTTGTCTGTTGCTGCTGTTGTTGTTGTTGTTGCTACAACAGTCGCAGTGCGAACACTTTCTTACTCTCACTGCCCCGTTTCCTGTTCTCTTTTGTTTTCTTTTTTCGGTCTTAGCACGATTTTTGGGATATATATTTATGTATAGAAGAAGATATATTTTTGTATGTTTTGTTTATGCTTTTGAAATGAATTTAACCGTTTATTGTTTGTTGTTGTTAACACACGGCCGCAAGAAAAAAAAACCATTAGCTCTTTAACTTTAATTAAACTCTGAGCTCTGCTCTGCAAAAGGAGAAAGAGAGTGTGAATTATAAACACATTGGCTCTCAAACGAAGGCAATTAATTAAATTGCTGCGTCGCCATTTTTGAGCTTTGTGCCACAATTTATGAATGCGCCTTTTTAATTTAATTTAATTCTATTTTGTTTTCGTTCATTTTTTTCCTTCCATTTTCCATTTCTTTTCTTTTGCCTTAACTTTTGATAAATACGCGCTCACTCGCTCGCTCACTTTTCTCTTTATTTTTGGATTTTTTTTTTTACAACAAACTCTCCTCTCTACTCGCGCGCCGACGTTTTTTAACACTTTTTACAATAATTGAAAAACTTTTTGCCGCTTTATTTGAACTTTTGCCTGTTGCGTCTCAGCAGCCGACTCGTCCTCCTCCTCAGCCAGCAACTTTTTGTCAGCACTTAAAAATTGAAATTAATATTGCCCGAAAAAATTGTATTCTCGTTTTCCATTACCGTCTACTTAATATCATTTTTCTGCATTTCTTCTTTCTCAATATTTTAAGCGAATTCAAACGATATGCAAACAACGCACTCTCAACAAAACAAAAAAAAACACACGCACACACACAAAAAGCAAAGATGGAAATAACTTCGAAAGTTAACAGCTTCTTGGCATTTGTCCTTTGACCTGTAAAGAGAAAAAGAGCAGAGAAATGTTTTATAAGTAAATTGCATTCAAAACTTTTACTTTTTCAACACATGCAATGAGTTGTCATGTTAAGAGGATAGTTCTTAGATTTAAGTCGCTTATGGGAAAGCCATCTATTTACAGTTATGAAAAGTTTGGTTTGGGCTTTTCACGCACCCCTCTTTACATTTCTTTAAAAGACAGGAATCCGCCCAGCTAGCTAAAAAGTTTATCAACCGGATCCAATCCATAATAACAAACATTTATGGAAATAAGGATTTGATTGATAACTAGAAATACAAAAAAAAAGACCAAAATAATAGTATGTTTTTCAGGATTAAAAATGTTGCAGTCGAGACACAAGACTGTTTTAAAATATTGCAAATTATTGGCATTTATATGTATTTATCTGCTTAACTTTATCGCAATGCCAAATGGAAAGCTGCGGATTAAAACAAATACTCTAGCAGCTTAGGCTTAGTTTCGATCCTTGATTGTTGATCCGATCTTGGGATTATAAAGCTAGCTAGCTAGCTAATGCGATCATTAAATAAACAAATAATCATATATTAAGCAAGCGATATTCTCTCCCTCTTCCTCTTATCTGCATGCAATAATCAGTTTTAAAATAATACAAGTAGTAAAAACGAGTGATCGGAAAAGAGCAAATTAAAACGTCGCTTCCTCTCTAGGAGAGAGAGAAAGAGAGAGAAAGAGACAGAGAGAGAAACAGAGACAGGTAATCACAGCAGTGTTGCCAACTTTTTAGAAAGGAAAAAAGCTGTTTTTGACGGAAATAAAGCTAAAAATGTTACAAAAAAGCTACATTTCATTTCAAATGCTCGTAAAAATTTATTTTTAAATGCTTCCAATTTTACAAAATTACAAAAAGCGTAAAAAGAGCTAAATGTATATTCAAAAAACCAAAATTCCCCCAATTTCGAATATCAAAAACAACCAGATTTGATGGGAAAAAAGCCAAATTGGCAACTCTGAGCCGCAATTGAATTTTCCTTTCGTATTCAAAATTTAAGTACACCTAATTCTGTTTTTACGCGGTCTTTTTTTACACGATTTTGATATAACACGTTTTGAAAATTAAAAATTTCATATATAAGGAACAAATCCCCTATTTGTTGTTTGAGGAACCAAAATACCGTGTAAAAACAGAATTACGTGTATTTTCGATTGGGAATTCGAGTTTGAAGCGAAGAGAGCGAGGAAAAAAGCCAATAAATATAACAGAGTAACTGCATATCGAGCAATTGTTTCACTCCAATGCAAATCACTGCTAATTTATTCGTCTCCACACACGATTCTGAGCACGCGTTTAGCCTCAACCGCTCAATAAGACGTCCTCCAGAAGCCGCGCCCCCGCCCCCTCCTTCCCCATCACCTCTGTCCACCCCCCACGACGCCACAGCAATCAGTTCATTCTAAAGCAATTTGACGAACGCACGCACTTGTTGTACGACCTCACCGAGATCTATTATTCCGATATATATATAGTTATACAGATTTGTGTGTGTTGTTGTCTGAATGTATACTATGTATATTACACAATGGGCAACAATAAATGACGTATGTATTTATTTAACAAAGCCGCTCAACAAATTACCGCACACAAAATTAAGCCGACGACCGTAACGCCACAAAAGACGTCGCCAGTTGAAAAGAACAAGTAGAGGCCTGAAAACATCTTCACTATATATACATATGTACATATATCTAACTATACATACATACATACATACATACATACATACATACATACATACATACATACATACATACATACTACATATACACAAATATCGGACAGACAGATTACGTTAAATTAGAGAACAAATGAAAACCACAAAATGATGCAAAAAACATCAAGAATCTTGTATGCTGGAGAGGCATTCGAAAAAGAAGAAGAAAACGAAAAACTATCCCTAATAACAAGAAAGCAATATAAAGATTTCTGAAACGGGCATACAGAATGGAAAATATTGATAATTCGGAAGGAAAACAAATTTCTCTAATTTGGAGATTACGAGGCAGAGCCAAACTATTCGATTCCTTCTCAATCCAAATTTATCTAGAGCTATCTAATTTTCTCGAGTCTAGCTTTAATTAAAAACATTTCGACTTTATTTTGGGGTAGTAACCCTGTCATACAAGTATATCTGTTTTTTCGTTGTGTTCGATCGAATTGCTGCTCTATTTGTGGAAATTATTTGATAGCTTTAGATATGATTTAGAACAACTACCGCGCATATCAAATATATAATATAGTATAGCAAGATCATTTAATTAAGATTGGATTTGTGTAAAGAAGCTTAAAGAAGTTCTAAATAAAATACCATCTCGATAGAAAATTTGCTTTTAGCTGTGAAAAACTGTAAGGTGGAGCTCGAAAGAATAATTTCCAATGCTTTCCTAAAGCTTTTGTAATATTTTTAGAGAGCCCTAAAGATATTTACAAGTATTTGTATCCATGCAAAGAAGTGAATGTTTCAAGGAAGTTTATTTATTAGAGTCCTCACTGGTACCCCACAATTACTTGTTAAGGCATTAAATGCTACAGATTTTTTAAGGGTACGCATGCATCATAAGTATATTATGGATGAGGCGTTACATGCCTCTCCATGATAATGATGTTGTTGATGATGATGGTGTGAGCTTTACACTTCACATACTCGTATGTAAATGTGGCATATCCCGCACAGCGTGTGCCACAATAATCAGAAAGAAGAAGCCACATACATAGTAATGCAGAGCTTCGTTTGGTGAAAATTGCAAAGAGAGCTGTGTGGTTTGGAGCTGGAGCTGTGCAGCTGAAGCTAAAGCTGAGGTCGTCACTGGAACACTGGGGGCGGTACGGGAGTGCGAGTAAGAGTGTGAGTGTGACTGTCAGAGCAGTGGCGCAGCATTAGTAACAATAACAATGGGGCAGCATGGCAGACCCTAGGATTGAGGGGCGCCGATGACAATGGCAGCGGCAATGGCAGAGGCAGCAGCAACGAGCTAACAAAAGAAATTGCTAATGCGCGCAAATAAAAATGGCACAAATAGACACACATACGTACATAGGCACACATGTATGTATGTGTATGTGTGTGTGTGTGTGTGTGTGTGTGTACATACAATACACGTATGTACATATGTATGTGCAACAGAGTGTATTTGAGGCAGACAATTGAAATTAAAAATCAGTGAAACCAGTTCTCACACATGTACTTAACAAACCACACACGCAAAGACACGCAAAAACACGTAAAGACACGCACACTCAAGCACACTCACGCGCGCTCACGCTGCACACGAATTAAACAATTTACCACCCGGTTGAAGATAAATTTAAAACGAACTGTTGCCAATTCTCCTCTTTGAAGAACCACAGAAATCATTACATTCTATGTATATTTTGGAATACAAAACAAATTTGTTAACCACTTTCCAACACTCCCCTCATTTTCAACGCCATAACAATTCCATTAGGTACATGTTCATTTCAGAAATTACACTTTCAGAAGTTTTAAAAAATTTCATTGCTGTAATTTCTTTTCGATTTCTTAAAATAGCATAAATCATTTTTATAATGCTTTGACTATTTCGCATTTATTTGAAATAAATTATTTTAAGTCATTGTAAATTAGTGTTGGAAATCGCATAATGTATCAAAAAAAGCTTTATCCATGAAAAAGGTTAGAAAAAGCGATCGCGTTTTAATGAGAATTTTCAAAATCATGTCTTCAGCTAAAGTAAAAAATAATTTGTAATTCGCCTAACGTTAAAGTATTTCCAATAAAATAGGTAAAAACTTGTATAATGAAAGTTGTTTGTTTGATGCTCTTTTCCATGGTAAAAGGCTGGAAATTTTGTACAGCTCACGATTTCCAACGATTAGCAAAAAATAATCGCCTATTGATTATGGAAATATTAAAAACGAACACAAATTTGAAAAAACAACTGAATACACATAAGTAATAATAATAAATATTATACAGATAGAATTATAAAAACCTACAGGAAACAGGAAACATCAAAACCCAATTTCCTGAACAACGGGATTTCACAAAACTCAGTGAATAGTGATACGATGCCAACATCAACTCCGACTTGTGATTTAGCCGGCCAGTTCAAGGCCTTACATGAAATGGCAGGTTCTCTATAGCTATCGCCACAGATCATAAAATAACGCTTTTTTTGCCAAAAGAGATACTCCCAAGTTTTTGTAAAGTACTTTAAAACGTAATGTGTGGGTATGTTTATTGGGAACTGTCTAACAACTCT